ACTACTAGCCTCTTAAATCTATTCTATAACCTATAATACTAGCTAGCTAAGGATATCCTTAGTAACTTTATAGTATTTACGTAACTTTTGCTTTATTTAGTAAAGAGTATAGTTCTATAGTACTAGCTTAGTAACTTGCCCTAGTCTTTTATATAATTGTCTATAATAAAATATCCTAGTCTTTATTTCTAGATTCTAGAAAGTACTTACCTACCCTAGCGCTATAAGTTCTAGGTAGGGGGGGTAGTCCCTTGCTAGGTAGGTTTCTAATCTATATATATTATAGGTAGGTAGTTTCTTATTATACCCCCTATAACTCTATAGCCCTAGCTAAGTAGTTAACGTTTAGGTAGGGCCCTAGGTTCTTAGCTAGTTTATTAGCAACCCTATAATTACTATAGTATTCTAATATATTCCTTACTCTATCCTAGTATTAGTTATATATAAAATAAAGTAGACCTAGTTTACTAGGCCTTTTAGTAGTAGGCCTATTACGTAGTATTCCTATAGCCTATTAGCCTTAGCTAAACTTATCTTTATTTTTCCTAGTAACCTAATTAACTAGTCTATTTCTAGGTTAATATTTAGTAGTAGCTAGGTAGTAGCTTTCTCCTTTCTAACGCCTTTTACTACCTTTATAATTTCCTCCTTTATAGGTGTAGCTTTTGCTAATTCTAATATCTAATATACCTACTAAGCATCTTCCTCTATTTAGCTAGCTAATATATATTTTATTCCTTCTCTTTACTAATAGATTCTTTTAATATAGGTATAGATCTTCTCTAGTTTATAGCTTACTACCTTATTACTATTAGGCCCTCCTAGTATACTAAGCAAGACTAGCTCTTTATCTACCTAGGGTAACCCTCTAAAGAAGAAGAATCTAACTTTACTTTTATATAGCTATTTAGATACTTAGCACGTATTACTATACACTATAAAATTAGTATAGTAGTCTAAGAGACCTAGGAAGTTTCTAGAGGCCTCTTATATATACGTATCTAGGAAGGTTTAGGTACCTATCCTTTAGGCTATATCCTAGTCCCTCTAGTGCTCCTTTATAGCTTCCTATAGCTCCTCCTAGTCTTACTTCTAGTAGCGTCTAAGCTTCTTTATAAATATTCTGTATATAGTATTATAGAAGTCTAGTAGAATTTTTAGCTAGTCTACTTTATCTAGCCCCCTATTTTCTACCTAGTAGTTATAGTTATCTAGGAACTCTATAACCTCCCTCCCCTAGAACTAAAAGTTAGTTTTCCTAGGCCTTATAGGGACAAGGACTCTTCTTAGGGGTCTAGAGGATTCTATTTTAGTTAACCCTAGGGTAATATTACTTTCTTTAGGTATTATTCCTAGTAAAAAGGATAGGCTTAGTTAAGGTAGTAGGCTTCTATAAATATTAAAGGAGGTATATAAACTAGTAATATTAATTAAAATTATTAGATAAGTTAGTATCTACTTACTTATATTACTTCCCTCCTTTCCTATCTCTTACTTTTATAGACTACCCCCTCTTCCTTAGTAGCTATATCCCTAATACCCTTCCTAAATAGTGCTAGCACTTATATTTATTTTTAGTAGATTCTTGTTATATTAGTAACTTTAGCCTAGCCCTATTTTCCTGCTAGTAGCGCACACTATCCTATAGCCTCTGCTATAGCTTTTCTATTAGTAGTAATATTCTAGGTGTTCTAGCACTTCTAGTATTACTAATGCTTTTTGTAGTTCTAATTATTCTAATAGTTCTAGTTATTCTAGTTCTAGTTATTCTAGTTATTCTAGTTCTAGTTGTTCTAGTTCTAGTTGTTCTAGTTATTCTAGTTGTTCTAGTTCTAGTTATTCTAGTTATTCTAGTTCTAGTTATTCTGGTTGTTCTAGTTATTCTAGTTCTAGTTATTCTAGTTATTCTAGTTGTTCTAGTTATTCTATTTCTAATTCTAGTTTTAGTTGTTCTAGTTCTAGTTGTTCTAGTTATTCTAGTGTTTCTGATATTTTCTAGTTAGCCTCTTAGTGTTATTACTCTATCCCTACTAACGTGCGTTAGCCACGTCCTAATATAGGCCCACTATTTTTACCTTAATAATATTAATTATTAATACTACCTATTTTTTTATTTTTTTCTACCTTCCTTATACTAGGAGAAATGTCCTCTTAGTTATATGCTACTAGGCCCTCCCCTTTACTAAGATAAGATAAGTTCCCCTTAGGCTTCGCTAGTTAAACTATTAGGGAGAGTAACCTATTAAAATAAGGAGAAGTAGGAGGGGCAAGGTTTAATAGTAGTAATCCTACAGTAGAGGATATAGATTTAATACAGGAATATAAGAGAAAAGATAATATTATAGAGTTAAAGTAAAGTCTCTAGGAGTTATACTATTTAATCCTCTAATCCTTTATACCTTTATACCTTTATACTATTTAATCTGCCTAACCTTTTAGGCTAAGCCTTGTTTTTCTCCTATACATCCTATGCCACGGCATATTAGAAGACTAGATATTCTTTTATTACGTGGACGTAAACCTTTTTAAGGTAGCGTAGTTAGGATAAGGGCTTAAGATATTCTAAGGCTTAGTTTCTTTTAATAATAAGGACTAAGATAACTATACTAAGCTCCTAATTAGATTTAAAGAGGTATAAAAGAATTAGGTAAATTAGATAGATAGAGGATTAAGGAGGAACAAGAGGGCTTATATCTAGGTATAGGAAGATAGGGTGCACTAGCCTAAAGAGCTAAGGGAGAAGTGCCCTATAGTAAGATAGGAGAAGGAAATCTATTAAAAAGGATAGGTAAGGATTATAAGCCTAGTAATACTATATAGATCTACTAGACCTACTACTTAAATATAGTGTATAGTTCTACTATAGTATATAAAAGTATAGGATAATATAATAATAATAGAGGTGCTAGAGATAGGGATATATATAGAAATCGCACTAGCCTACCTATAGATAAGTATAGCCCTAAAGACTCTATTAGGGCACCTAGTTAAATATACTAGAGTCTAATAGCAATTTCCTAGAGACGTCTAGGCTACCTACCTAACCTAGATCTTAAAGGCAATTATGTGTTAAGTTTAATAGGATAACCCTTTAGTAAAGGTAGAGATCTAAAAGTACCTAATAGAAGATTTAAATAAGGAGAGGATAGGAGCATAGATTAGGAAGAGTTAGGTTAAGATAGTAAAGGAGTTAAAGAAGAATTAGGCTATCTGCGTTAAGAATAAGAAGCTTGCATTTAGTAAGGATAAGGAAGCTAGGGTACTAGACTAATCCTACTTTAGTATTAAGGGGGTATAGCCTACTAAGGTAGGAGAGTAGTAGAGGTATAATAAATAAATTAAGTAATTAGAGACTCTAGATACTATTAAAAAGTATCTACGAACTATTAAAGAGGAATAGAAGGTAGAGGGATCTAGGCGCTTAGGGCTAGGCTTTATAGGAAGCCTAGTAAAGGCGTAGAGGAGAACTATCTTATTAAGTTTAGGTTTAAGGTTAGAGACCCTAGATACTCCTACTCCCTTACCTAAAGCTTAATAAGCTAGGAACTAAGGTTATAGACCTAGAGGAGGAGAGTAAGGGCTAAGCTTAATAGGGCTAAGCTTAAAGGAGGGGGAGGTTTATGCTATAGCACAGGATATATAGGAGAAAATAAGGCTTAGCCTAAAAGGTTAGGTAGGTTAAATAGTATAAAGGTATAAAGGTTTAGAGGATAGAATAACACAACTCCTAGAGACTTTACTTAAACTCTATAATATTATCTTTTTACTTATGTTCCCGTATTAAACCTATATCCTCTACTATAGCACTACTACTATTAAACCTTGCCCCTCCTACTTCTCCTTATTTAAATAGGTTACTCTCCCTATTAGTTTACTATTAGTAAAAATATTATAACTTATTATTATGTTATATATATGTATAGCGTAAAGCTAATCTTCTCTACCCCTTTTAGTCTTAGTTAGGTAATATAGCGTATAATAGAAATAAAACTACTTTTTATACTTAATTTAAACCCCTACTATAAAAGTAAACTACTACTTTAATAAAAGTAAACTACTACTTTAATAAAAGTAAACTACTACTTTAAACCTATTTATAGGTATATATAAGGGCAGTTTATACCTATATAGTAAACCCCTAGCGTACTATTCTATAGTAAATAATTTTTAACTATAATACTTACTCCCTATAATAAGTATAAGCACTTATTCTAGTTTTTCTTATTAAACTAGCTAAGATATTATTAGCTCTAATATAGCTCTAACTCTAGTCTAAGGCCCCTCTACCTCTAGATATAAAAGCAGCCTTATGCTTATAGATAGATAGATAAGTTCTTCTTATCCTTTTATATAAGACCTATAGGTGTAGGAATCTTATCCTTTTCTATACAGACGCGCACTCCTATATGCCTTTAAGTCGTATTAGATACCTTTTAGATGCCCTATTTACCTGCGTCGTTACACTCCCTAGGCCTTTTGTTCCTTCTAAACTCGAAGATAAGGCTAACTATACCAATACCGCCCTCCCTTCTAGAAACGTGTGGGCTTATCCATGTAAGCTAACTTCATGTCTTAACTATAGCAAGACCTGGAGCCTTCGAAGCAACTTCCTCTTTCATCTACTAGAGGAAGATTCACACAAGACAACAGCAATAACGCCAGCCACGCGCCGTGCAATCAAGAAAGAGTGGCAGTATACTACCAATCCTGATCTACCACCTCAGGCAGCCCCAGATTTCCGTTCTCGAGAGGATCCAGACGAGCACATATAGGACTACAATTTCAGAGATGACACTAGGCGGATAATTCAAGGCAGGGGCACGATAAGGGAAATAGAAATGCATAGGGCGTCACGACGCCGAGAAACGCAAGTAAGGCAGACAACGTAGCCTTGGTCTTGCTAACGCGGCTGGGATAAGCCTTTAGTTTGTGTAGCAAGATGGCGCGTTACAACACGACAAGAGAATCGCGAAGACGTTAGCTTGACAGGAAAATTTAATCTAGTCTGAGAGGCTCTTGGTTGAGGATTTCTCCTCGTAATCAATATCGCGATCTGCGCGCTTCGCTGCTCTTTCCTCTTGCTTAGCGTATCTTGCTTCGTCATCTGCCCTTATCTCTTCAGGAGGTGTTTCTGAACGCTTCCGCTTCTTAACCTCCTTGGCAAGCACATGCTTGCTCATTGCTTGCTCTTCTTTGTTATCTGCCGCACTAAGGTATTCGCAGAGTCTTGATCCAGGAATTCGGATAAAAGTGTCCTCCTCACCCATTTCCTTCTGGGCAAGTCCTTCGTAGGTGAATTCGCTGAGGCGGAGCTGTAGACCTGGGTGGTCTACGGCGTTTCCTTCGTCATCACGGAAAGCCTGTTAGGAACGTCAGAAACTTGCAAAAGTCGTTGAGGAGGTTAGATCTACCTTGTCTGCAATCTCTTCTACCGCTCGCAATTCAAGTCCGTCATCAGTAGTGACTAATTCGGGTCGCCAGACTGATAACGTTGCTCTGCGCGACTTGTTGTGATCATACTCAATATATAGACCGACGACCACTCGTATGTTGGTATCTGAATCTAAGATATAGTTCTCGGCTAACCGACGTAAGTGCGCCTTGTTCTGCGAGTATGCGACTTCAACAATGACGCCTGGAAATTCTGCATCTTCATGCTTAAATGACGCGTCTGGCTCGTTCTTCGATTTGCTAGAACTGGCGTCGTAGTGGATCTCAGTTGATCGGGCTGAATATACTTTCTGCGCGAATTTAGCCGTCTTTCCTGATCCGTTCTGTATCTTTCTCAGCTGCCTCCGAATATCATCCTCGACTTGGTCGATGAAGCGTTCGTGTATTGGGGTAGGCATGCGAATAAATAGTCTGCATCGATGTGCGTCGTAGTCATACCTAGCAATAAATTCTGTTAGCTATAGTCTTTGCTGTGTCTAAGGTCTACGAACCGTATCTTGTCGTCCACGAACCCGCACAGCACATTGTCTTGCCAGAGCGTCCTCTCTATGTGCTCGTACTCTCCTTGCACAAGCTGAAATACCTTCAACGGCCCTCCGCTAGTGTCCCTTCCCGCTTGGATACGTCTGAAATGCGCGATAACGCGAGGCGCCTCCGTGAAATGCTTCCTGTCGGTCGGCGGAGGCGTCAAAGGTGGTTGTGTAAAACTCGAGGGTGGCGTGACGCGTTGGTCCAGCATTATGTGCAATTTCTACATAGCTGTATGCTGTGCTGCATCGTGAAGTGGGTTGATGCTCGTTGCGCTGACGGATCCTCCGAGAGCTGGGCATTTCGGTTGACTCATCAACAGCGCCACATGCTCGGAGAGCCAATGACACTTTTGTGGCTGAGACCTTCAGCCACCGCTGTTTCTCGTTCACGATTGCAACTCTCTGTTCGCGAAACTAATTGTTGCATTGTGTTGCAGGAAGGATACCAACCGGATCACGGAGCATCTTGATCCGATTAACCAATCTGAACCCTGATTAGTATCCTGTTGCAGGAGGGATAACAACCGTGTTGCAGGAAGGATAACAACCGGATCACGGAGCATCTTGATCCAATTAATCCTGATTAATACCCCTGTATGACCCACTATCTAATTAACTGCCAGCTTACTGCTAAGTGCCTAATAAAAAGTAGGAGCTCTAGTAAGGAAGGTTTACTAATTATTTACCTTCTAGTAAGGGTAGCTAAAGCTCTATATATATAAGTCTAATCGTAGTAGATATAATCTAATAATCTATCTTCTAAATTATTCCTAACCTTAGTAATCTAGATTTCTATAGTTATAAGCCTAGTTTACGCTTTACCTTATTAAAGATTGTCCTATCTATTTAAGCGTATTATTTAACTTAGACACTAAGCTAGCAAGCTTTACCTTTTTTATACTATTTCTTAAGTAGAAGCTTACTTATTACTCTTCTACTATAAGTAACTAAATCCTAAAGGGGGATATCCTACTTACTAGATTAACTAACTGGCTTTTAACCCCTAGGCCTCTAATTATTTGCTTTACCTTATAAAACTAAATACATTACTACTATCCTAAGGGAAACTTTAGTAGGAACTAGCTACTAGATAGTTTAATTAGTCTTTCGCCCCTATACCTAAATTTAATAATTAATTTGCACGTTAAAACTGCTGCGAGCCTCTACTAGAGTTTCCTCTAGCTTTACCCTATTTAAGCATAGTTTACTATCTTTTAGGTCCTAATAGCTATACTCTTACTTAAATCCTTCTAAAGATATTAGGATTAGTTAATAGTGCACCCTAAAAGGGGTCCTACCTCTATTTACTTTTATTACGTATCTAGGCTTAACACCTAAACACTTATATAGATATTAGACTCCTTAGTCTATATTTTAAAATAGGCCACTTATAGCTATTATACTAGCATCCTAGTAGATATATAGACCTTAGTCTAGGCTAGTTATATATTATCTCCCCTATAAGGCCTCCCTAAAGGGAGGTATATAATAGAGACCTTTATCTAACTACCTAAACTAATACTAGCCTACCTATAGAAGAGTGCACTAGATAAAAGCCTAGATAAGTAACTATAGGCAAGTCTAGCTATAAGCGCTTCCCTTTTCACAATGTTACGTGCTATTTAACTCTCTTTCTAAAGTGCTTTTTATCTTTTAATTACTCTACTTATACGCTATTAGTCTCTAGCTAGTATTTAGCTTTAGAAGAAATTTACCTCCTATTTAGAGCTATATTCCTAAATAACTTAACTTGTTAAAGGGGCTTTATATAGTAAAGGCTAGCAACTATATATAGGATTCTTACCCTTTATAATATCCTATTCTAAGGAACTTAGACTACTACTAACGCTAAAGCGCCCTCTATAAAGTATAACTTAGACCCTAAAAGAGCTAGATTTTAAATTTAAGCTGTTGCCGCTTTACTCGCTGTTACTAGGGCAATCCCTATTAGTTTCTTTTCCTCCGCTTATTAATATGCTTAAGTTTAGCAGGTATCCCTACCTAATCTAAGGTTAAGAGCTTAAAAAGTATCTTAATAGATGCTAATAACTATAACAAGAGGCGTAAAATATGCTGCGCTCTAGGCTAATATACTAGCTACTAATTATTTTAAAGTAAGTCCTAAGTAGAATAAACACCTAATACTAAGCAGAGCTTAAGGGTACAAATAACGCTTAAACAGGCATGCCCTATAGAATACTAAGGGGCGTAATATGCGTTTAAAGATTTAATAATTTACTAAATTCTATAATTTATACTACTTACTATATTTTACTATATTATTTATTAATACTAGAACTAAGAGATCTGTTATTAAAAGTTATAATTTATTATATTATTACTAACGCTAACTATAATTATAAGTAGTTTTAGGGGATCTAATTAGTAGGCAAGCCTACTAAGGAAATAAATAGTATGCAAAAAACATAGGTAGAATTAAAGTAGACTACTACTACTAATTAAGGTAGTAGTGCTTTAAAAATAAGTAATAATCCTTCTACAGGTTCACCTATAGAAACCTTGTTACAACTTTTACTTCCTCTAAATAACTAAGTTTAACAAACTTTCTAGCTTAGGGTAGTTATTACTAACCTCCCTAAGCTAGTCTAAAGGCCTTACTAAGCTATTTAATTAGTAGTAGTAATAGGTAGTGTGTATAAAGGGTAGGGACGTAATTAACGCATGCTAATAACACGCGCTTACTAGGTATTCCTTATTAAAGAGTAATAATTGCAATACTCTATCCCTAGTATAATAGAGTTTAATAAGATTACCTAGACCTTTTAGTTAAGGTAAAGAACTTGTTAGCTCTATTAGTGTAGCGCGTGTGTAGCCTAGAATATCTAAGGGTATTATAGACCTATTATTGCCTTAAACTTCTATTAGCTTAAGCTAATAGTCCCTCTAAGAAGCTAGCGACTAGCTAAACCTAGCCTAGCTATTTAGTAGGTTAAGGTCTTATTTATTATTATAATTAAGCAGATAAATTACTCTACTAACTAAGAATAGCTATACACTACTACCTAAAAAATTAAGAAAGAGCTCTTAATCTATTAATCCTTATTTTATCTAGACCTAGTAAGTTTCCCTATATTAAGTTAAATTAAGCTGCAGGCTCCACGCCTAGTAGTGCCCTTCTATTAATTTCTTTAAGTTTTAGCCTTATAACTATACTCCCCCTAGAACCTAAAAACTTTAATTTCTTATAAGGTGCTAAGCGAGTTAGAAAAAGAATATTACCTAATCCCTAGTTAGCATAGTTTATAGTTAAGACTATAATAGTATCTAATTATCTTTAATCCCTTAACTTTTATTTACTAATTAATAAAAATATCCTTATTAAATACTTTTGTAGTAGTTAGTCTTTAATAAATCTAAGAATTTTACCTCTAATAATTAAACACTAATACCCCTAACTGTCCCTATTAATTATTATAGCAGTCCTAGAAACTAATAAAATAGGACTGTATATCTAATTCTATTATTCTATGCTAATATATTTAAGTAAAGGCCTGCTTTAAACACTCTAATTTTTTTAAAGTAAAGGTCCTAGTCCCTAATACGCCTAGTAAAGGGCATAAGGTTCTCTAGAAGGAAGGCCTAGCTAGATAAGTACACGTAGTGAGGTAGACCTGCTAGCTAGACTTAAGTTTTAACTATAAGCTTTTTAACTGCAATAACTTTAATATACGCTATTAGAGCTAGAATTACTATAGCTACTAGCACTAGACTTGCCCTCTAATTGTTCCTTATTAAGAGGTTTAAATTATACTTATTCTAATTATAAGACCTAAAAGAGCCCTATATTAGTATTTATTATTACTACCTCCCTATATTAGGATTAGGTAATTTGCGCGCCTACTACCTTCCTTAGATATAGTAGCTGTTTCTTAGGCTCCCTCTCTAGAATTAAACCCTAATTCCCTATTACCCGTTAAAACTATAGTAAGCTAATACCTTACTATTAAAAGTTAATAGGGCAGAAATTTAAATTAACTATTACTAGTGCAAGGCTATGCAATCTGTAAAGTTATTATAAATTACTAAGAAGCCCTAAAGGGCGTTAGTTTTTTATCTAATAAATACACCCCTTCTAAAGTTAGGGTTTTTAGTATGTATTAGCTCTAGAATTACTATAGTTATCTAAGTAGTAAGGTACTATTAAATAAATAATAACTAATTTAATAAGCTATTCGCAGTTTTATAGTATAATTACTTATACTTAGATATACATAGCTTAATCTTTAAGATAAGTATATAACTACTAGTAGAATTAACTAGGTAATAATCCTAATACCTAATACGCTAAAGCGCACAAGCACTACTACTAAAAGGAGGTAGAAAGTACGTGATAAGAAATTGTAGAAGCGATTCTAGCTACTAGCATAATAGCACACAAGGCACTAGTTATAACTAGCAACTAATTTAATTACCCCTACTAAGTTTCTTAAGGAATAGTCTATAATAAAGCCTAATAGGCGTTTCTACGTGTTTAAACTCGCCACATACATGCCTTAAGTAGAGAAAACCTACGCTTTGCCACGCTTACTAGGAGTAGATGCTAGGTAGGGCTATCCCCTAAGATCTATTAAATAGTTTAGTAGTGCTAGCTATCTATAGACCCTAAATTTTGCCTACTACTAAAACTTTAATAGTAGGACTTTAGGTGCTAACTATAAAACTAGGCGTAATAGCAGGGTTGCTTTAGCATATAGGCCTAGGCCTGCCTAGTTAAGTAGAAGAGCAATCTCTAAGCCCCTAATTACCTACTAATTAGAGCAAATCTAAACTAGGCAGAAATCTAGGAAATAAGGCTAGCTATTATAAAACTAAAACTTTTAAATTTAGTCTAACTACTACTAAAATAGGCGCAGAGCGCTAACAATAGGGAGTTATAGGGAGTATAGATGCGGACATAAGTAAAAATTGCCCCCTTAGTGCCTAAGAACGCTAGTTTAACTGCCTAATCTAAGAACTACGCGCAGTAGATTTAACCTTAGTTAGTTAGTTAGGTATTTAGTATTTAAGAATCTGTTTACCCTCCTTATATATTATAGGAACGGGCTTTAGTTTAATTTTTACGTTATAGGGTTAGTGTAGTAGAAAATAGCTTAGAGGTACACTTTTTTATATATAAAACTATATAGATATACATAGCCCTATACAAACTATAAACCTATATTCGCTAGATAAGAGTAACTTAGAATTC